ACTTCCATTCCCTTGATGTTTTCTAATTCAAATGGTCTCATCAGTGTGGTTCTGAATGCAGATTTTAGAGAGTAAACACTCTTCAAAACTTCATACCATCTTCAGAGCCTAACATCTGCCTGGCCAGCATATTTGCTGTTGGATTAAGAGTCATCTGATGCACATTATACCAGAAAAGCAATGTAAAAATGTTTGTTGGTTTCAACTGTTCCACTCTCGAACTGCCTCCCTAAAAGGAGCTCCAGGTGAAGCAGAATTTGTTTATGAAGCCAGCTCTCTGCCTTTGCCATAATATCAACCAAAGTAGAAATATCACAACAATTATCTTCAGTCCAGAGTTTCACATTTTTCTGCTAAACAAATCAGGACACAAAACAAGGATGATACTTAAAAGAGCATTTTACTTTAATTAATTTGATTAAATGTTCATGGTTTGTAATATTTACAATGCTTGTATCACTAATGACTGGCCTTGCTGCTTGTTCAAGTAAGATTGTGCCTCAATTGCATCTGTTTTGACACATAACGTGATGTGTGTATCATGAAATCAAAAGACAGCATTTATGTGCAAGGTGTGACTGACTGCCAGTGGTGCAGTAATGAATATGTTCCTTTGCCAAAGACCAAACTGCTTTAGTTTTCAAATGACTGTGTTCCCAAAATCAACTCTATTATTCGCCTGGCTGAATATAACACCTTGTAACAATATTGTGAAATATACTTCTTCTGGATATCGGAGGCAGTCTCTTGCACATGATTCAACTCAGTAATGTGGCTAGAGGGTCCAAAAGCACATTTTACATCCAATTTTCTTGGACTGCACAGTCTGGCAGCCTGCAGGCAGGACACTCAAAGCAGAGGATTCTGTAATGGTTACATAGCTGTTTAAAAATATGTTATGCAGCCTCTGAAATACAGAAAAGAAATGCATGGCATGTTTGCCTTTATACTGTTGAAATAACATAGAAAGATTTTTTGGGGGGATTTTCATATATGCCCTTTAGACGATTGTTGAGAATAAACATTTTTATCACATGCTAAATGTGCTTTATCTAAAGTAATGTCATTAATTTTTCAAATTATTTATAAAATCTAATGTAGCTCAATACCTCAAATGCAACTGTTTGTGTAATTTACCCTTACTGTGTTGTTCATGTGTTTTGTTTTGTTTTTTGTCATGTGTAGAGGTGAACATCAGACCATATAAGAGGTTTTATTCTTATAATCATTACATATGCCACTGAATCTGTAAATGTGAACAGTATCGGTTAAAAAGCACTCACTGATATGAAGAATTAACTCACGATATATTAACCTGCACATTTTTCTCTTAATGAGACCAGAGCATTAATACTTACCCTAAACAATAAACATCACCCACTCGTAACATTATGTGAATCTAATTGGCTTTCTGATGTTATGTGGATGTTTGTTAGAGTGTGTGTGTGTGTGTATGCAGATGGATACAGGGTTATCTAAAATAGCTATTTCTTTCAGCTACTTTCCTAAATCCTGTTAGGAATGTAATTATTTATCAAAGGTATCATGCTGTGAGTTAGGCCGTGCCTCCTGCCCTCTAATAAATACAGAAAACAGACGGATTCACTATACAGAGTGAAGGTTGGAAAGTTGACCGTGATACATTAACATATATGTATGAGTGTAATTGCTTACATTTAAAAATGCTGTTACATACATTGGCAACACATGCAAACACAAAGGCTTGTATATGTACCAATTTAGGATGTTATATCAACATGTATGCTACCTTACATTAAATATAACATTTAAAATCCCACATATATTGAATAAATAATAGTTCAGCCTAGTTAGCCTTGATCATGCATAAGAAAGGAATTAGTCATATGTGATAAACACATTAACCCACATGAGACCTGTTTGTGTGGACTGTCAAAACAGATCACTAAGAGGCTAATGAAATTGGTTGTAAAATATACTCATATCTACATATCTATATATACACAGATCACCCATAACATTATGACAGGTGAAGTGAACACTTCAGGTGATTATCTGCAAGGCAGGCAGCAAGTAAAACATTTTGTAAAAATGAGCAGTGTGAGGATTTGAGCGACTTTGACAAGGACCAAATTGTGATGGCTAGACGACTGGGTCAGAGCATCTCCAAACCTGCAGCTCTTGTGGGGTGTTCCCGGTCTGCAGTGGTCAGTACATATCAAACGTGGTCCAAGGAAGGAAAAGTGGTGAACCAGAGACAAGCTCACTGATGGGGGAGTGAAGGCTGGCCCGTGTGGTCCGATCCAACAGACAAGCAACTGTAGCTCAAACTGCTGAAAAATGCTGGTTCTGATAGAAAGGTGTCAGAACACACAGTGCATTATAGCTTGTTGCACTTACACAGTTGCTTTTACCAAGTAAAGTGATATGTGATGTGGTTTGTTAATTTAAGACAAATAAACTGTGAGGCGGCTCTGCACACCATACTGCTAGCACCTACACATCTAACCCTCACTGATAATTTTCTTTTCACAAGAGCTGGTTGACGAGCACCAATCTAGTATAGAGAGGTACTGGTTCCTCGTGAGGACAGGACCCCCTGAGAGCTCTCAGCTCAGCAGGACTTATTTTCACAGTTACATGGCCCATTGCTGCATCCCTTTTCTGCAGGGACTCAGGCTTTAGTCTGGCCCTTGAGAAGACTGTGCTGCTAGCTACTGAACTACCACAAGAGCTGGTAGAGACACTGCTGGGTGCTCTATTTTTGAGAGGTGTTGCAGGTACATCATCTCATGAGCTCAGTCCCTGTGATCTTGCTCTTTCTGTAAAATATCTCAAAGATAGATCCTGTTAGCTCCCTTCTTCTCTTTAGGGGGATATTTACCACAACTAAAGCTGTATGAATAGAGATATACCAGCTATCTGAGGGGGGACTGCATGCTCCCACTCCCATTTTATTAAATGTGACAGGAAAGATTAGGAGAGAGAGCTGTCCTAAACCAGTTGTCCCTGGTTCTGTAATAAGAATAAGTAAGAAATAACATTATGAAACAAGTGGTTAAAGATTATACAGCATGTTTGTTTTCCATTAAGCAATGTTGTGTTTTTTGGAACAGAAATGCTGGATGAACATCAAGTACACCAGGCAATGTATCACAAATGTCAGTTTAATCATTAAATCATTCATCAATCATTTCAAAGCTGACATCTCAGACACTCTCAGTTCCACATTTTTCTGTATACAGTATATACATCCATGCACAGAGCTTCGTCAGGAGCCCTGGAGCTTCTCTTCACAAGCTCATCTGGTCAAAATACAAAATTCATACTTCTAGGTATTTCAAAATAATTGCTCTTTTAAAACTGACAACAGCCACAAAATATTCAGTGGTGCAAGCTGTTGTTTATAAATTAGACCATTTCATACTATTAGTCTGTATTGTCAAAAACTGTATTACAGAATGAATACAAATTTTCAGGCCCTATATGGATTAAAAATATCTCTAATAAAAGACCAAAATCAATAAAATATTCCAGCTTTAAAGTCATTAAATTAGAACAATATCCTCTCTTAAACTCTCCAGATCTTTGGAATTTTCCAGTTAAATCTCATATTTAGATGATGAAATTTACCCAATGAATTATACATGTAGACACAACAGTTTAAAATAATACATCTTTACTCTGCTTTAGTTTGCTTAACTGCATCTAATATGTGGGTTGTGTGATCCTATATAGATTGGCTGGCTCATCTGCTAACCAGCAAAATGAAATAAAACCGATCAGTGTAATCAAACTGTAAAAAAAAAAAAAGAAAGAAAAAAGAACAAAAACAAAAAACACGCCTCATATTTTGGTCCACATTGTGTGAAGAGAATTTAAAAGTGTAGTCCTGGCTAGAGAACTCCTCAAGGCACTTAAACACTGACAAGTCCAGTCCATACCTCCTGTGTCTTCACATTGGAGGGAGCTCACTTTCTCTTGGAGAATCAAAACTCATGAGTGGGATGAGGAGGTTTCAAGATGAATACAAGCAGTGAGGGCAGAGGGGAGGGGAGGGGAGGGAAGTAGCTTGTGGACACATCGATATGGGGATGGGCGCAAAAAAACAAAGAGACGAGGGAAGGAGCGTGTTGTGAATTGAACAGCAAAGAGACAGACTGAAATATACTGGCAGGCTGAAGAGGGAGAGAGGAAGTCAATGTACAGCGGTATTTACATAACAGAGCAGCACTGGCAGGTTTTGCGATTGGGTGCCTCCGTTTCCTCTCCCTGGTTAGCCCTGGTTGCGATGTGTGTCTCTGTGCTGGCGGGGCTGTTAGCTGCTGCTGACTCTGCACGGGTGTCGGGGGCTTTGGCCTGCGAAAGAAGGGGTTCCTGCTCCCCCGGCCCTGCCTCTGTCCTCTGGTTGTCCGTAGGATCAGCCAGGGGCACCTCCTGGAACTGGCCAGACACAGTGGCAGGGTCTTGGGCTTTTAATGCCGCCTCAGCTCCCTCTGGTGACGTAGCAGCTGCACCCTCAGCCTCTAGCTCGAGGGTGAGAGCGGACTGAGAGTAGACTGGCACCGCAGCCACTGTAGTGTCCTCTAGAGGATTGGCCTGGGACTGCACCTGCACAGAGGTTGGATCTTCTGATCGCTTGTCCTGTTCATCGCAGTTTTCGTTCGTCTTTACGCCACCCTGCACGTCTCCATCAGCGGGTGCTGGCTGTGCCTCTGCAGTGGGTTCAGTTGCCTCACTCTTCTCTGGTTGTGTGAATGTATCTGGAGTTGTTTCTGTTTTTACTACCTCCTCCACAGCCTCCCCTACCTCTTGGCCTTGGCTTGCTTCTGGATTCAGCAGAGGGGATTCCTCTGACTGAATGGTTTCTTGCTGATCTTCCTGGGGCGTAACATCCTCAGGTATATCATCCCCTTCATCTGTGATGATCACACGTTCTGCTCTCATCACCAGAGTCCCTTCATCCTCCTCCTCATTAATGTTGACATTTGGAACCTGACCAGGCTCTGCCTCAGAAACACCCGTGCTCAACTCTGGTGCCAACTTCATGCTAACAACACCCTCAGAGGCTAAAACTGGTCCGTTGGTGGTGGACTGATTACTCTGCTCTGAAGCATCAGGGTTAATGTGTGCCTCTGAGTCTCCTTCACCATTTGTTAGGACAGCTGCAGTTACATCCTCTAGGGGGTTTTGGTTTGTCTTCACTTCATCTATAGTTGTTATTTCTGAAGAAAAAATATCAAATAAATATCAGTGAGAAAATGAGGAGACTTCTGTGCAACTGCATTCATTTGAATAGTTAGTGCTGTTCATGCATTTAAATTATGCAGAGTGAATTTGCAATCAGTATGCCACTCTGTCATTAACACTGATTATTAGCTTTCATTGTAGTTAGTTGAGATGCACCAGTACTTGATTGCAATTAGAGGTTGCTTTGCCACCAATATGTCAGCGCTCAATACAGCTAATTGATATGTTGTAATGCAGTTAACAAAAGGTTCTGCCATCTATGAATCTTGAAACACGCATTGATCATAGTTAGACACAAGATGCAAAAAGCATGCATTACATGCAATTTTAGATTCTGCAGTCAGAGGTTATAGACTCTGGATGATTTAAATAGAAAAACAATAGATGGGTTCATTTCATAATGAAATTTTTTAAGAACTTTATTGTGCACTTCAACAGTGTAAATAGCATCTCCTAGGAAAATGTCCATGTACCTGCTGCCCTCTAAAAATGCAAGTTTTGCACTTGAGGGCCTATTTGCATAAATATATATGCAAGACCTTATTCAACAAGCATAAATATTCATCACAGCATGTATGAACTTCTTATGAAGTATAGGTTTGCCCATGCCACTCTTTTCTTTATAATGCAAATTTCCTTAAGATCAGTATATACTATGCGTTAAGTATTTCTATTGGGGATTTCATGGTCTCTCAGGGGTTGGGATAATAAGGAAATAAGATAAGGTTGACATCAGTGAGGTTGATTTAAAGTGTGCAGGATTTGTTCACATGAGCTTCATGAGAGTATTGCGGTTTATGTCTGTGTGCATTTTATGACACATGAATCAACTCTGTACCCACCCAATCCTGTTGCGTCGTCTTCTCCATTCTGCACAACAGCATCATGGACTTTTTCTGAGGAAGAAACAATTTACATTCATTGCAGCGTTAGACTGATGACTGAATTACAATGTGGCTTAATCAACACACACTGCTTCTTTGGATAACTAATGTTTTCATAATATGGATGCAAAAGTGCAACACTACAAGACAACAAGATAAGAACATGCTTCTTTTCTATACAGTAGGTAGTAACCAGATTATTTTCATTACCAGGAAAAAGAGATGTAATTAAAGAGGAGTAGCATTAGAAGAGCAACGTTGGCTAATAGGTGGTGGCAGCCAGAAATGCAGTGTGTCTACATACAGTAGTTTTGACATGAAAAAGTGTTACAGGGTTGACATGTATTGGACAGAATACAGTGTTGATGGATGGATGACAGCTAAATACTGCAGTTGCTAGAACTTGTCAACTAGCTTGAAAATACCCATGTTAACTCCCGTGCAGTGTGAAATCTGCAACAATTTGTCACTTTCTCTGGTAAGATGCTAATGGAAATGCAATTTTCTAAAATGTCCACTGTAATTTTAACATTTCTCTGTGTCAAAAGGTTTATCTGATCCCACTTACCTGCTCCAGCCTCTGCCATTTTCACTGCCTCCTGTTGGATAAGAGGGACAGGGGAGGAATTAAATTTACTGTGACTCAACTGGTGCAACTGTTTGTGTTGTGTTGCCTGAACCTCTGGTGTATTGTGAAGGGAACAGAAAAAGGCAACAAATGAAATGCAAAAACTGGAACATCAAACACTTTGAGGAAACAGACACAGTCCAGATTGTTTCTATGAAATATTTTCTCCTCATGTTGTTTAAATTAGCATCTATCCTACGCTCCAAACAGCAGCACAGACAGACCGACACAGCCTGTGCTGAACTACTTAATGTGTCTGCTACAGTCTCTCAAATGGAGGATAGTGATCATTTTAGCTGTTAAAAAGGCCATGACATTCTGCCTGGTCACAAGGGGGAGTGATTGAGCTGAAAAGCCCTACCTGACCTTTGAAAAGCTGACCCCTGTCCAAATTGGTGTGGCCTGTACTAACCAGAGATCTGCACAGATAAACAGTAGCCATGTATATGTGTGTACTCTAAAATTAAAAGCCAGCTTTCAAGGACCTGAACATATCATCACATCCCTAGTCTCATCGGAAAACATTAGGCAAACAAAATAATTAAAAAAATGTCCTGTACATGTTTGAGTTGCCAGATATTATTAGCTGTCATTTGCTCTCAGTCTGCCCGCTCACCCAAAGCTGTGCTGGCAGGCCTTTTTTTAAAGTGCTGTATTTTTACACAGAGGAGTCATACATAAAAGAAGTCTCCTCCATCACAGCCAGCATTGGTTAATCGGCTGTAAAGCTATTAACAATGGAATCCTCTGTTTATCTTGATTTCAGCTCCAAGGTTAAGATGAATATATGATAACTGTAAAAAAAACTCACAAAAAAAGGACAACTCTTTTGTTCTACCATAAAGACCTTCAGCGAGGTCAAGTAAACACACTTGCGCTTGGCTTGAGGTGAAACAATAATTCCAGAGCCAATCAAGTGCTGAATTGTTTATGTAACAGAGCTGCTTACATTGATAAAGTTCCTGCTTTTGAACAGGAGGTGCTACATCAAAGGTACATTAAGAAAGGAAATGCATTATTCATGGAAAAAAGCCACAGACAGAAGTTGTGGGACATTTTCTGCCTAATGGAAGATGATGGAGCAAGCTTGTTCAACACATATATTTCAACCCCCTTTGTGTCCACAGAGAGAGTGGGCAAGTGTGTGCGTGCGTGCGTTCAAGTTCCTCACCGTTTGGCCGTCTTCCATCTGTTCCCTCAGCTTCTCTTCCTCCTCTGCCAACCGCTGGCTCTTGGACTGCAACCTGAGATGGACACACAGTCGTTCAGACACACACAACACATTAATTCTATACAAACAATGAACTCTTACATTATGATGCTATTACATATTCAACTTTGAGTCTTAAATGTTTATTTGTATTTATTTTATGATCCCAATCTAAGTAACACTACTATAGGCTTTTATTTTTTAGGTTTAAATCCCCCCAGAGGACATGTACAGTGTGTGTGAGGAGACTTCTTGGAGAAAAAAAAAGAGGCAGAGCTGTGGACCTTCGCAATAATAAGATTGGGATCTTGGAGTGTAGTCTTCAGGGACCTGACAACATTGTCCACTGCAATAAAGAAAAGTCTAGTCCTGTCTGGCATGTGTGCAGGCTGGATCGTCTTCTCACTCTGCTTGCGAGTTCAGTGCTGGCGGAATTAAAAGTCAACTTTGCCAAAGCATACATAATGTACGACAACAGCAAAAATGACAAGAAAACAAAAATAGAAAAGGGAATGCTGCCACTATTAATTATACATGAAGTTTCAACTACACAAATACAACAAAAATGTGACAGTTCTCTCACGCTCTGTCAGCTCTTCTAACTGTCTCAGGCAGTCACAAACTGTCTCCTCGTCTCCCAGTTCGATCTTGCAAACACACACACACACACACACACAACCTCACACACTGTGGCTGTACTTGTCAATGTGCTTTTCGATCTCCTGGGCCTGGGAGCCCCACAGAGGCGAGCGAGGGTTCTGGGTGTCCGTGGAGGTCGGGGAGGTCGGGGACAAGGGAGGTCCTTCCATCAGCCACTGGTCTCTCAGAGACTTCCTCTGGAGTGAAGAAAATGAGGTGAGAAAGAGGAAGGAGGAGAGAGATGAGAGTGACTCAACTTCCAGTACTTTTTGTATTATGGTGATGTGATTATGTTGTGATATCCAAGCAAACTGTAATTTAAACACAATTTCCAGTACTGTGGGATGAATGTGTCAACACAGTAGCGTTTACACACCGGTAGCTATCCGTCTAATATCTGGTTGTATTATGGCATTGTGACCAGCACTACGAATCAATGAGCAGAAGTGCTTATGGGCAAATTGGATTTTTATGTTTTTTGCATCGCTGTCATTGTGAGTTATGAGGTACTTAATTTATTTAATCTGGTTTGGTTATTTTACCCATAAAATGTTTAGCAATTCATTTTCCAGAATATTATACTGTATATCTATGTAATACTATATATCACAACACATATATCGATATCAAGACATTCAATTACATATATATATTGATAAATTATTGTATCATTAACGCCCACTCCTACAGTGGAACAAACTATTTGGACTAAACATCAATTCGATTATTGTACATAAGATTTCATATTTTGATATGTACCATATAGATAAATTGATATTGACTTCAACTATATTCTAGTGTAAGTGAGGCTAATTACAACATGCAGGTTGATTTCTATTTCAAACATACACAACATAAATATTTTGATATGGATCCTTCAAATGACATAAAATAACTTGTCAACTGTCAATGCTCTCTGGTGAATCAACTATACAATGTTGACACTGGTAATACAGTTAAATTAACACATCCTAAGCTTTGCAGTAAATGAATAACAATGTCTGGTATCAGCAGACACAGAGAACTACAAGTTTGTTAACTAACTTAGTTAACGTAGCTATAGGCTAACTGTCAGATGACACAACGCTACCTCTGTAATGAAACACCACATATCAATCTAACGTTAGTAATCATCCACAAGAGGAATAAAACACAAACCATCAACAGTAACCCAACAGTAATTTAACAGTAACATCAAAATAACTCAAATATGGAATTAGCCTTAGCTAACAACGGTACAATGCTACAGTGATACTTACAGTACGGCTAGCCTGGTTAGCGCTTAGCTGATCAGAGAAACTAGCTTACCAAGTAAAATTACACTTGAACGATTACAATTGCTATACTGATAACAGACACAGTTTTGAGAGTAGACGTTGTTCACAGAACGGTAGTTAACCTAATTAACTAACATTAGCTAGATGAAGATAACAATATCAGTTTGATGTCAACTGCTACAGAACTGTGTCAGTAACGGTTGCTACTGGCAACACAAGGTTCAAATGAAAGTAACTGCTTCTGGTAGAATCAGAATCAGAATCAGAATCAGAAATACTTTAATAATTCTAATGGTGAGTAAAAGAGAGACTGCAGACTGTAATCACTCCTGATTTGATTCCTAGTGCACTATATTTAGCCTCCACCTTTTTAATTGAGTATCCAATGCATAAAATATATGCACTACACAGTTTCCTTAAAAAATGGCCACAACAAAATGAAAAGAATTGTTTCCATACCATGGACAAGCCAGTTAGTCCAGTATGTGGTATGTCCAATATTTATACCACAGTATAATATAGCCTACTAGTCTTTATAGTACTGTTTTTTTTTTTGTAAACTAAACATATCAAATTGAGTATTAAACAAATCAACATAAACTTTTCACGTCAACCAAAGTATGACTCTAAAATGCCACTAATGTCAACTAAAAGTAAAGGAGAACATTGCAAGGAAACACTTTTTACATTGGATTGTGGAAAAATCATGTACATCAATACCTGAATTTGTCACTTCTCCACTACTCAAAATCTACTTAGTAAAAAGGTAACCTGTCCCAATGCCATACATGTACATACTACTTCTAACAATCGGAAAATGCAGTGTTCTATTAGATGCAAAAGATTAACGTTAACTCGATAGTAGACTTACTAGTCACAATTCATAATGATGATAATAATAAAATGTCAGAAATCTTAATGTTCTACTCACTAAAGACTAAACTATAGATCATGATTGATTGTGGAATAGTAAATAAGTGATGTGATTTCTCTCTAAGAAAGAGAGATGTGGAGCAGTGAGTGAGAAATAAAATGGTGGAAGGTAAAGCAAAGCGTGGTTATGTGAGTGAGGAAGGTGAGAAAGAAGGTGAGAGACAGAAAGAGAGAAACACCTGTGAGTCCATGCCACCAGTCTTCCTCTCAGCTATCCAACAGAGAGAATACAAGTACTAGCATGAATATATAGCATGTGTGTGCACCTTTCATTCTCATCTTATTCCTACACCACTCCAGTAAATAGACTTGACCCAGTGAACAAAAGCTGCCTGAGGCCACTTACTATTCCCTCTTAACAATACACCAAACTAAGTACAGATACTTTCAGGTTTTATACAAACAAGAGTGCAATTCTCAGTAGACACCCACTGGACATCTAGTACAAACCCTTTAAAAGCTCTAAGTGTGTGTTTAATCCCTCACAGGTGTATACACTGCATGAGTGCCCATTGCAAACATGACAGTACATCTCAAACTACACAAGCTATTACAAATTTCACAAGTATATCAGATTACTCGACTAATTACTACTACTAATTAGTGTTACCTTTATAGATCTGACTAAATAGAATTCAAAATGTCAGAAACTGAATTTATTTACCTTTAATTTTAGTTCTGAGATTCACAGAGAACTATAGTGTGTAATATAATGGCATGAAATCTTCACCTTCACGGCTTGTTTTCCAGAACATTATAAAGTTTACATGAGCTGGACTATAGCTTGTAAATCAGTGTACGTGTACTGACAAGTAAAAATGTTGGAAATGTAATACTGTCCTTTAGTGTCAACAATGCTGGACATATTTCATAAATCACAACAAAAACAAATCTGGTGAGATACTACTGCACAATCAGAAAGTAAACCCTGGCAATGAAAGTGACATGAAAATGACGTTATGATGATAGTGGTTACAGGGCCATCTGTCAGGCTTATAAAACCAAGTCTGCTATTATTTACTCCATAAATGTATTTCCTTTGGTATTTGCAGAACTTCTTTACAGGCAAATAAATTCAACTTAAAAAAAAAACTGAATGGAAAGTCCATGGTTACACAATGTATATATTAAACACTTCACGGAGATAGTTGTAATCAAGAAACTGTCAGGAAGGAGAAACATTTTTCACTCAAAAATATATTTATTATATTTAATATAATAAACCAACTGCATTCCCCTGTACGTCAGGACTAATAACAGAGGCGGCAGGGTGACTTAGTCAGTATGACAGCTGGGTTAGGTTGCAACCAATTGTCCTTGGTTCAAGAGCTTATTTCTGCAAGCATCTGTGCAGCTACACTGCCCTTGAGCCACACAGTAAACTCTTGCCAGTTCTAGGAATTCCGGTCTGAAGCTGACCCTGAAAGGCAGAAATAAACAAAGTCTGCCTGCAAGGAACTTTTTAGTGAATCTAATCTAGTAGCCAGGATTATTATTTTTATCATAAATAAATGGCTATATGCACTAAAATCCAGTACACAGCGCTCATGCCAGGTGATCTGAAAACCTGTACTATCCTCCATGGCCTCCATGTTTTCAAAATGTGGCAACCGTTAGCCAGTAGCTACCTACTTAACTATAAGCGTCACAAAAACATCTCTGTGTTTTCTCATGCCGTGCAGAACAAGCCCTGCTCTGTTCCCCTCCCTGTGCCTTTGGCTTGCTGGGCACAGTCAAACTCTCCTGCAGGTCAGGAGCACTACAAAAACTTCTGCTTTATCACATCCTTACATCTACTCTGGGGTTACAGTCAATGTCAAAGCTAATGAACGTATTAAATGCTATGATGATATCTCCTCCTGTGAGAGAGCAAATATGGAAATAATCATTTAAAATTAATCTTTGAAGCCTCTTGCAACCTGATCTTTGATCTCACAGACGCAACTGATGTTTGGTGCATTGTGCACAAACTGACATGTGCACACAAATATGGTGAGCGAACATGCAAACATCTCTTGCATGACCACACTGGTCACATGCAGGTATACGCATGCAGACATGTTGCACAAATTTCTTACAATTTGAGGAATGTGCCCCAGGGCAGTGTAACACAGTGGAGTAGGAAGTGGGAACGCCAGTGTGGAAATGATGTGAAAACAATAGAGCAGCTCTGTGACTTGCAGAGTGAGTTAACACTCACATAAAAACTGATTTCAGCAAAGGAAGGCTCGCCTCTAACCTCGCGAGAAACGGGCAGAACCAGGAAGTGTGGAATGTTGTACAGTTCATCTCTGTGTATGTGTAAAGAGTGTGTGAGAAGAGGAAATACATTTGGATGCTATCTGCTTCCTAACAAGCTGGAATGGGTCTGCAGAGGCCTTTAGCTGAATGAATTTAAGGCTGCATGTGTGTGACTATGTGTGTGAATGGATGAGACAGGTTTAATGATCCTGCATATGCGTGTCAGACCTTGAGCTGCTGTAGTCTGAGCTTCTCATCCTCCATTTCTCTCCTGGCTCTGTCCTGCTCCTCCTGCAGCCGACGCTTCTCCTGACAGAGAAAAAAAGGAGGAGGAAAGGAGGGAGATTGCAAAGAAAGAGAATGAATGTAGACATTTTGATAGTTTGGTAGAGTGAGAGTGAGAGCAAGAAGAGTACCAATAAATCATTATTATTATTCAAATAAACAATGGACTCAGATCAGCAGCCAAACACATAAACAAGCTGATGTAAACGACTCAACAGAAACAAAGAAAGGGAGGAGACGTCAGCAGTAAATAAAACATCACTGAGAACGAGTAAAACACCTGGTCAACCATCTGTCACAAGGACAGTCACCATAGACATCAGGTATACTCTATATCCCATAATGCTCAGAGCAGCTGTTCCCATGGCAACTCTGTGTTGTTTTTTTGTGGGACCAGGGACACCCTGGCTCACCACATTGCACATTCAGTAAATTATTTAGGAGTTACGGACAGCTCAGAGAGCTTAGTCTCTTTATCCTCTCTTTCTTTGTACAGACAAATCTGAAATAAAGGCGGAAGTAGACAAGCTGCCACTACTGTGGTAGCACTTCACTTGTAAACCCTTTAACACACTGTGATGTGTAAATTTCTTTATTTTGTGTGAAGAAACTGTCCAGGAGATCCTGTAGAACTGGTTATATGTTAAAAATATAGTTGTCAAATTCCATTAAAATAAAGGTTCTAATCTATAAAACTTTAACTTTCATCCAGTTTTAACAGACAGCGAGACATCCTTTCTGTGAAGCTACTTCAAGAGGGAAAAAAGGGAATGTAAAAGTCTCTGCTCCATGGAATTAATTTTACTTACATAAATCTCTATTAATTCCTCATGTTTCGATTGCATTCTGAGGTAAAGATCTGAAGACCGGGGGGATCTGCGAACACTGGGCCAATGGTGAAACGTCACTCTAGCTTTTTACTATATTTCCGGTCTGAAACTTGACTTTTACAATATCATGTGTTTCAATTTCTATTTAATGATGCATTTCTTCTGATTAAATGCACGGAATCAAATAATTTGCTGATTTAAATTTGACTGTGGAGGTTGGACAGAAGCAGTACAATAATGTATTTATTTCTCCAAAAGACTAGTACTTTAAGACCTCCACATTCAGGCAGACTTCTTTCATCTGTCTGAGGAGGGAAATGCTAACCACAATTAACCTAAACATCTCAGTGTCAGTGTACATGTGTACAGTGTGCATACACTTACAGCAATGGCCTCCAGTCGCTGTTTGTACTTGTCCGCCTCATCCATTCTGGCACCTGTGACACAACAAGACAGGTTTGAGAGTTAGAGATCCGAGATTAAAGTCAAAACAAGTGGACTGGATCCATTTATTCCCCGAAATGACTGTGCTCAGTGGTTTGAGAGAATGAACCCAGGCCATTATTTCAGATGTATCCTCTACACTTCACACACACACACACAACCATGTTCAGCATTTTCTTCTTGCGATGTCAATTTTTGCTGTATGGTGGTTTTTTTTTGGTTTTTTTTGGTCTTTACAAATGTCAAAGTTGTCTGTGGTCTAAAACTCCTAACTCCTTGAATCCCATCCCTGCTACATATGAGAATATACAAGCATGTGGGGCAAGATCAGAAACCTACATACGTCTGCAGAGCCAGCATGACCCACAATCCATTCCCACCTTCACCAAAAACATCTCCCCCACACCCCTAATAAGCCAATTGTGTCTATCATGACACAGCCTTGGGCATCTCAAAGAGAATGAGGATAGGCATTTGTTTTTCCCTGCAGCTGACACTAAATGGGACAATATTTGAGCTCCCCAAAACTCAGTTACATGAGAGAGCATAGACTAGTCATACATAGCAACCAGCTCACAGCAACGCAGTCATTAGTGAGTTCCTGCCATCACACGCCATAACACTGCTTTAACAAAAAAAATAACTTCTCAGGAGAGAAACAACACTTATTTTTGTCCAACATGTAATTCTGCACTGGGTGTGCTTCATACAAAAGACTTATATGATAAGAATAATCTATAATAAAGAATAGTGAAAACACTGTTATTCAAACTAAAATTGGAGGTTTTGATGCAAGGACAGCTATAATCCTTCCAATCACTGACAATTCTGTGTGGTGTATAAAGAGTTCTGTCCTACACCAAAAAACACATTTAGCCATCACAGCAACTGAGATCTCACATTGGGGGAGATCTGAGCAATACGGTGCCCTATTTCTCCAACAAATGCCACACTGTCAGAGACATTGTCGCTAATCGCCATCAGAGAGCTTTGAAGCGCAAAACATGTCCATACCAATGCACGCACACACACAAAACACTTTCCTGATGCAAAACCTCATAAACAAGCTTCGGACACCAATAGGAAGATCTAACTTAACCCTAAACTCACCTTTTACATCAAAACACAACTGTACATTGACTTTTAGTTTGAGAAAAAAAGGTCAAGCTCAAACTACCATACTAAGCTCTGACACATCAACCCTCAGCTACATTACTCATTTCTCCCCAAACTCCCCTCTCCATCAAACACTCGTATGCTCTACAAATAAGGGTTCTCATTTCTGCCCAGAAGGCAATCTAGCAGAGCTGCTGCTATTGTTGCACCTTTAATATGGCAGATCTTTCAGGGCCTTAAGGGATGTTAGTTAACATAGAGAAAAACTTCTCCTTACCAACACCTAAAGGACTCCTTTGGCACCCTCAAGGTGAGGGTTCGGTGGCAGAGTCACAGGGGAAAGAAAAGAGTCCACATAAAACAATTTGAAATTGTAGGTGTACTGTGTATGGAGGGGGAAAACATGAGGATGAAAGAAGAAGAAGGAAGGGGAAAAATGTTGGTAGGGAAACACCTCTAGCATGCTTTTCATTACACCGGAGTTCTCTCAAGAACTGAGGTGGAAAGACAGAGAGGAAGGATTAGCAGAAACACACGAGAATATATAATATACATACATACACACATACATACAATATAGATAGAGAGAGATTGAGAGACGAGACAAGGTATAAAGAGAAGAAATCTCATTTTGGCAGTGTTTTGAATGACTGGAGGTGCAGTGACAGCTTACAGTATAAGTCCCCGTAGGGAGATGAGGCTTGTGTCTCATCAGGGCTCCAGGAGAGCGCCGAGAATAGCAGCCAGAGATAAACAAGCAAACACAAACAGAGGCTTTGATGAGGAGGTATTGAGGAGCTCCCCGTAGACACACACTGACTTCGATAATTAGACATGATACAGAAGGGTAGAAAAGGAAAGGCTGACAAAGTCAAAAAGTTAAGAGGCAGAGAAAGTCAAGATGGTTGGAGAGAAGAGCGATAGAGGAAGAGAAGACGAGAGGGGAAGGTGACAGGAAACGTAGCCACTGGTTTGATTGGTGGATTCATCCCTTCCACATAATGGGACAATGCGAACGTACGAAAAAAATCTTATACAGGACCAACAGAAAACAAGAGACTGCTCAAGAATTGGAAGAACAGAGAAATTGTATATTAAATCAACTCTGTTTCCAATAAGACCCTAATAATCATCAATCAAACTCAGGTCAATCTGGTCCCACCTAAAAAATGCATTTAAAGAATTGTTGTTCACCCATAAAGGTGAAAATATCCAGTATTTCACATGAAAATAATAGGGAAAAGTCAGAAAAATTAATGACATTTTTTATATTTCTTACTCCTTGAATCATCTTATGACCCCCTTAGACTCATCTTGTGTCCCACAGAAAAGAGATCCCTCGTCCAGAACAGGCAGACATATGTAGACCAAAATAACAATAGTAAAATTACAATATGAAAAACCAGGATAACAATATCATAGATACTCATAAACATTCAGGATTTATTATAACTCATGTCTGTTCTGTATTGGGCAGCATCCACATTATAAAACCAGTCAGAAGTATTATTAATGGGAAATCTTTACTTTAATCATTTCATGAATCTTTGCACCTTAACTGTGAATTTTCACACAACTCCCACAATCCTCTTGTGGTACTCAGAAAGCACAGCAACCCACAACTGTGCTGTGGGACCAAACACAAAAACTAGACTTGTTCACTGGACCTTTGCCTGTTAATGCACACCATATCCAATACATCTCAGAATCAAACAGCAGCAGTAAAACACCAATATGGCACATGGCCATGAAAACAGCTTGGCTGCTACAGGATTTAATTACAGACACCGGTTCACCTGTGACACCTGTTACATGACAACCCAGATGGCTTAAATGACTGAAGTTTGATTTAAGTTGACAGTTTTTTGGTATTCAAGGCAATAATTTGTGTCTTACACAAACACTTGTCAGATGCGCGAGTTGTAGGCTGTCTGACCTCAGTGGTATGACCTCCCATACACCGAGTGTCGCCCAGTTTACAGTCTCGCTCCCTCCCCATACCCCACTCACACTTAGTCACACAATGGACAATGACAAAAGAGAGGAGCAGAAGCAGGGGCAATGGTAGTCTTGTCGCAAGAGGAGGTTACATTGCATATGTGTGCTGCAAAGATAATGTTTATTTATTGATTAGTCAACAAGCCTATTTCAATTTGTCATAGTAGTAAAAGCACAGTTGTTTTAATAACAATAACAAGGTGTTCTAACCAAGTGTCCCAGTAAGTACTGACTGAATCCGCTAAATGGAAGATACACGTGCTTTTCCTTTTAACAAGTAATACTTATGTGATGAGCCTTTTTTGGTATTTTCAGATGTAACAGAGTAAATAATTAACTGATTTAGAGCTGCAACTCATGATTATTTTATTGTTTTTATAATCATCAACTAATCTGCCAAATAAATATTTATTGGGTTAGGGTTACTGTAATTATTAATTATTTGGTCCACAAAATGTCAGGAAATAAGAAATTGTGATGGGCATTTTTTTATTTTATGACATTTCAACCAAATGTGAAAAGCAAATTGCTTGTTTTGTACAACCAAGTATTCAAAATCCAATGAGATTTAGTTTATGTCCTACTTCACCAATGTAACATTTCACTAAACACTGTCTGACTCACAATGGAACTTTTTTTTTTAAAGGATCAAAATCCGAGCCGAACCAGAGATATAATCTCTTTTTCGAAAAATACTTCGACCTTGACAAAATGTGGTGCCTACTAACAGTGCAACTCTAACTGCTGACAGTTCAGTCAGAAATTTGGGTGTGTTATGCTAGCAAATGTAGCCTCGAGCAGACCTTAGGGGCCAGCTACAGAGTAAGCTCACTTCTTTTCCACACCTCCAGATTTTTTCCAGTTAGAACTTGTAGTCTTCAAACCCAACCTCATAAATGACTTAAACAATTAATTATCAAAACAGTTGCCAACATATTTTCAGTCTATCAATTAATCGATTTATCAAATGACTGTCTCAGCTTTAAATTGGTTAATAAAAGAACTTAATAGTGCATGTGTGTATAGAAAGGTCCAGCAACTCAAGCTGCCTCTCAGTCATTCAGTCTTACTGCAAACTGTCAGCATGGTTCCTTTGCCAACATTCCTCCTGCCCCGGTGCAAAAGAATGTATATTTGCTTTCAGTGTACGTATGCATGTTTATATAACAATGTATATTTGCCTAGTGGGGTTCCATGAAGTCTATATGCTGAGTGCTGGTGTAGTGACATTAGCTCTGTGGGAACAGATGGAAGAACAGTGGGGTGTCTGGAATGAAAAACTATAACAATCATTTAGTATCACAATTCACTGCTGGTGGATTTCTCTGACACACACACTCACAGCCAGTATACAATGACCTGTATATAAGAATATAAATGGGAATCATAAGCAGTACTACTCCTACAAGGCAAGAGACGTTTTCAGCTAGAAAAGTTTTAAATACTTTCAAACTGAGAACAATACCACAAAAGCCAAAGCATTAGCATTTCATTTCTGAGGGTTTAAAAAGAAAGGCCCAAAAAGACTGTGGGAGTGGCAGTCAGTGTGATCTGATAGGTAGCATGTACATACCGCCAATGCCTCCTGTTGCTCTGTATTAAATGGCATGTAGAATATAATGTTAGTGGTGGCATGCAGTAGCTACGCCAGATGAAATGTAGATAAGTGGTCTATGCAAAGCACATGTTTCAGGAATTTTAATCCCATTTTAAAATATCTGACTGGAGGAACAAGTTTATTCAAATACTATACTTCAACACTACAACATGGATGAATGGGGCAGGGCTTGAAATGTACTTTTTGTCCTCCGTGTCCCACAACTGTCCTGAATTCTACTTTCAACTGTCCCAGACTCAACAACCATTGTCCCAAATTTAA